GATACCAACAGAATGGGTAAAGAGATTGTTAGTGAAGCTGCCATACAAAGGAGATTTAGGTCAATGTGAGAACTGGAGAGGCAATACACTTCTATCTGTACCAAGTAAAATACTGTGCCGAATTATACTCAACCAGATAAAACATGTACTTCGAGATGAACAAGCTAGATCAAACAGAAACTTCACCGACTAAATAGCAACTCTACGTATCATCATTGAACAGTTAGTAGAATGGCAATCATCCCTCTACACCTCTACAACAACTTCATTGATTTTGAAGAGCATTCGATATAGAAGGGATGTAGCAACTGCTTATGCAATATGGAATAACATCTAAAATTGTAACTTGATCAAAGCATTGTATGAGGATTTCACGGTTCATGTGAATACTGGTGTGAAACAAGGCTGCCTACTCTCTCCTACACTTTTCTTGGTAGCAACAGACTGAGTAACAAAGCACGCACTAGACACTACACCAAAAGGTATACAATGGAATTTTGTAAGACGGCTAGAAGACTTAGATTTTGCAGACGAGCTGGCTTTCCTATCACACCTTCTGAAAGACATTAGAGACAAAACCACCAAACTCCATGAAACAGACAAAAAACTAGGGCTAAAAAACAACATCAAGAAAAAAAAAAAAAGAAAGTTAAGACCAGGAAAGGTGAAAAAGTGCCAATTGAAGGAGATGATATAGAAGAAGTTGACAGATTTACTTATTTAGCAAGCATCGCGGATAAAAATGGTGGGGCAGATACAGGCAAAAAATCCAGAATAAGTAAAGCTCCACAACCCTTTGCTATGCTGAAGCCTGTTTGGAAATCAACGGCAATAACAGAAAACACCACAATTTGCATCTTTAGCACTAATTTAAAATCAGTCCTGTTTTTACGGATCTGAAACCTGGAGACTTAAAGCAGGAGCACAACAGAAAATCCAATTTTTTATCAACAAATGACTGCGACAAATTCGTAAATTTTGGTGTCCGAAAACGATTAGTAACAAAAGTTTATGTGAACGTACCAACCAAGAACCAGTAATTAAACAACTAAATAGAAGAACATGGCAATAGATTCACACCTTGAGGAAACCTGGTGATACTATCACTAGACAGGCATTAACATGGAATCCTTAAGGACATCGGAGACGGGGGAGACCATTTCTCAGCTGGAGAAGATTATGGCTGAAGGATCTCGGGGAGATAGGATATTCCTGGAGCGAAGCCAAAAAAAAAAAAAAAAAATAGCCCAAAATAGAGTTAGGTCGAAAGCGACTGTGGCAGCCTATGTTCCACAAGGAATGAAGAGGATGAAGTCAAGTCCTGTATAGGTTATTGGAAAAATAGCTTGTTTTTATGATTGAAATTTAAAAAAAAAGAATACCTGTCCGGAGAGAAAAAAAACATGACCCCCTTAATTTAAAATTCGTTCTTTAATAAACCTGCGTGTATATCTTTATATATCAAACGGATGTCATTTTTCGGAGGAGTCTGGTGTATGTAGTTTATATGTTCTGTTTTCCTTTGGGGTATGTTGTCGATTCCTGCAATCCCTTTTTATGATTTATGATTTAAGTTAATGCTTAATTGATTTTACGAGGATAACAAACAGCCAAAGGTACTCCGATACTTTTCATGAAATTATGCTGTAAAATGCATGTGTTTTAATATATATGTAGGACTCAAATCTATGGCGGGTTCCAAATCTATGGCAGATTCCTAATCTATGGCAAATGTGACGTTACAAACGTCAAACAAATCAAATCTATGGCAAATTTTTGTTTTCTCCAAATCTATGGCAGATCTTGTAATTACGTAATTTTTCGGGAACAAGAGTACCATATAAAGTCACAATTGAATAACGCCATATTTGAATTTTCAGTTCAGTATTTTTGTGAATTTACTTTTTACATCATCGCCGCAAACAATGGCGAAACCCATAAATTTGAACACCATTCCAGATGAAGGTATTTCCCTCTACAACAATTTGCGGATTGTTTAAAAGAAGATGTGACCTATGTCCGGAAGAGAGTGCTGTACTGGCCAAATCCCGATATGAAAAAGCGCACCGCTATTTTTACTACCGGATATTTTAGGAAAAGAGTTACATGCATAGTAAATATTTTACCGTCTACGGCTGGAAAAATTCATAAGGTGAAAGATAAAATTACTGGATACCAATTTGATTCAAATCGTCATCAAATAAAAAAGATGTACTAAGGATGAAATAAATATTATGTTTACCGGTACACTTACATAATGGAGAAGACTTCATAAGTATGATTTACTTGTGTCTAATCAATTTTGCTTTAATTCAGCAAATAAAATATGTTTAAACTTTTAACTTATATTGTGTGAACAACTCAAACTGTTCATTTTTTTTTATTTAAAAAAATACTGCCTACTTGTTTGTTAAAGGACTCACTTGTTGGTTTAATGAATGGGTTAAAAACAGGTACCATGCACAGATTAGAAAATGCTTATTTTACGGGGCACATCATTTCAATTTTGAAGTTTGTATTAAGTATTTGAAGTCTGTATTAAGGTATATGAATTCATCATTTACGAAATTTTTTGGTTGCCATCAGGATTTGGTTGACTATTATGGAATGTTTATTTCACATATGTTTATAGACATTTCCACTTCTTTAAGACAAGTCATTGATCGTATATGTACTGCATTGTTTTCCATTTCCACAAATCTGCCATAGATTTGGAAACAACAAAAATCCGCCATAGACTAGGAAATGACAAAACTAGCCATAGATTAGGATTATAAAAAATCTGCCATAGATTTGGGATGGCATGACGTCATATTCACCATAGATTTGGAATCTGCCATAGTTCTGGAACCCACCATAGATTTGAGTCCTACATATATTCGCTCAATAAATATCTTAACTAATTGTCGGATATGCCTTAACCTAACCGAAATTTTTTTCAACAATTTAAACATTTCATTTCTCTAACATAATTTGGGTAGCTAAATTATTAAAATATATTAGGGAGGGGTTAAATATCACTATATCGTTCGTCCCCCTTTTTGTCGAGCCCGAGATATTTTGTCGCGGAAGCAAGATAGCTTTCCTACATTCAGTCGGCGTCGTCGTTAGAGTGAACATTTAAGTTTAGTCTGTGGTTAAAGTTTTTTTTTTTTTTTACATCAATAACTATTTCAAACCGTCATTTAATTTTACAAAACTTAGACAGAATTTTTTTTATGATCAAAAGTCATGTGCAAATTTTGCAAAAATATTGTTTTGTCATTTTCCGTATTTTACTGATACATGACTTATTTTTTTTGGCGATAAACATTAAGATACAGTCCGATAAGGTTAATTAATTTTAGACATCAATAACTTTTTGAAACCTTTTCAGAATTATCAAAATTGGCAGAAGCTCTTTTGTGATTAAGAGAAAATGTCTGAAACAATTATTTTTATATTTTTCCCTCTTCATGATTTTACTGATAGATGATAGATAAACAATATTAGGTCAATGCCAGAAATAAACTTTTTTGTATGAGGCTGAGAAACTGGGGATTGGGCGAGGTTGTACCGAGCCCTTCCCCAGTTTTGTGCCGAATACAATAAGTTTATATTTTTCTGACATTGACCCAATATTGTTTTATACGGCAACTTAGATAATACATTGATAGCTATTTAGATTGTAACACAAATTTCAAACTTATTTTCATCCCTAAATGAACACCTGATTGTGGAAAAAGTGATCCATGATGAAATTAACATTGAACAAAAAATAGCTTTGTTACTATATTTAGGAAATACACGGAACTAGTTGCAGTAGAAATGCAGTTAACATCCAGTCTGGGATTAAATTTTGTAGACATATATAAGTGCTAGAATGATATGAAAAATGGACAGAAGCTTCTTTAAGATAAAGAAACAGCACATGAAGAAAATCTTTTAAAAAAATCATTTTTTACTTTAATTTTGTCCATATCTTACTGATAAATAGACTTATCATTTTACAGTCAACATTACACTTTTAAACTGCCAGCAGCAATCGAAGGCGAGACACACAGGTCCTTGAAACCCTTCGCGATTTTTTAGGAATATCAGACCAAGAACTGTACACTTAATATATATAGGCAGGGCTATTTACTAAATTGGATTTGCCTGTTTTCTTTTTATTGTATATTTTCATATTTCTATTGACATATCATCCTGTTTTCTGTTACAAAAAAAAATCAACAATTGATTTAATTATAAATCCTCACGAAGTCATTTTAGAACACCGGAATATTTGTAAAATGTCAGCCATGAATATGTCAATAACATTTACATAAACTGGTGTTTGCAATTACTAAATATTTGTAAAGAAATACATTGAATATTTGACTCTTGAGTTTGGTTAGGAACTTTAAATATTAGCTTTTTATTTTAGATAATGATAGAATGTTAGCATTGAATTTTCACTTTAACCAAGACGTATGTAGACCTGTTCTATATTTCGGAAAGAAAGAATATGTATTTTTTGTTGAAATAAATCTATCAAATGCTGGTGTTTTCTCAAGTTTGTTATTGATAACATTTTAGACTCGCATTTAACTTGCTTACACATTTCATAATTGACACTTGAGAAATCGTCATATACCTCAAATATTCATCTTTAATGTGATCTTTTATCGCGATATGAAAAAAAAGAAAAAAATATGCATGCAGCACGTTAGTATAATCTGGTTAAATAAGTGTGGTCTTTTTACTTATGTAATCTGGGGAATTTACTTAATGACAATATACAATTTAATAATAAGTCTCTATTCCCTTTCTATAATTTTATTTCACAACATATGCCGTGACGTTCTCACTTTTCAGCAAACCCTTTGTGTCGTTGTTAAACTCTGTCCTATTACCAATACACAGTCACATTTTTTGATTTTACGTTGATAAAACATTAAGTCGATAACCCACACAATATTAAGTTGTGAGGTCGTCAATTAGATATAATTTAAATAAACCCATTCATAAAATACTTCGATAATTTTAGAACATGCAATTATGGGAGTGGCCAGCTGATGTTTTTCTTTGGCGTTACAGATAGACAAAAGAAGAATAAACCGGTTAAAGCCTACCTGCTTATAAGCGGGAAAAAATATAACTACCTGAATTTTATGACAGCAGGATCGGACCGGAAGGTAAGGATTGTAGTATTCGTTCAGATCAGTTGGAAAAAAGGCCTGTTTTTTTAATTCAGAACCATTAACCTGGTTTTAAACATTTTTATGGTTAACAGTTTTTTGACGGGTCGGTCTTAACCATGCGGTTATATGGTTAAAGAACATTTCAACCGAGATCAAAACCATGTTTTAGATATTTTCATAACTTTATAGCTTAAACATTTTTCTTCAACCGTTGCGTTTTTTCTTCTCCCTTTTAACATGTTTATGGTTTAAACTTTAACGTGTTTCAGGTTGTTTTTAACCAGTAACTAGTTTGAGTTTGAAAAAACAGGCCTTAAATTGTTCTTCTGTTTTCAATCATTTAAAATGTTGTTTTTTTTTGCATTATAAATAATGTTTGTGATATTGCATTTATAAAACATAATTTCTAAACAATCCAGTTAGAATTAACACGTTATGTTGTTAATTGAGATTATCTTTATTAGCGAATTTATTACTCTTGGAAATTTGAAAATAAATAGAATGGAATACAACTTGAAAAAAACCTAATATTTTACTAAAATTTAAATTTTTGATAGCCATTCACATCACCTTTGCGCAATTTTTTATCGGCATAGCCTCATTAATCGACCTTAAATCGAACACACCCTTCTACATTTATGAATATATATAACAGGTGTTACACTGTTATATTGCAAAAAAAGTTTGGCCAAAAATATCTGAGACAAAAATATTCGATAAAAATAAGAGAAAATAAAAATAATGTAAAAATAAGGAAATGTGGCATAATTGCAAATGAGACAACTATCAACCTAAGACCTAAGCAAATACACCGTAGACTAGTATCATCTATAACCTTTGTGCATGTAAATAAATCAGAAATCATGCACCCTGTTCATCTAGACTTTTCCCGTCAGACAGTAAGAGGTCAGCTACATGAAACTGTATTTTGACAATTGTGTCTTTAGTCTTTGTTAGTTTGTAATTTTTTTTTAACTATCTGATCTGATCCCATCTGATTTTTACAATTCGTATTATGTTGCGTTGTTTTTTTTTTCTCTGGTTTTATGACATTTCAGCAAATTATTTTTTTAGCAATTTAAAGGGAACTTATTCAAAACAAATGTTATCTCTCTTTTCCTGGCAATACATTTTTTCTTAAAAAATGAGAATCAGGGTAAAATATTATAGAATTTTATCGCACATAATTGTCCGTTAAAGACTTGCTCTGTTACTAGTATTTCAATCTCATATATTGAGTAAAGGATTGTTTCTGCCTTAAACCTTCAAGAAATATTCAAAATGGAAAATTGCATAGAAAACCCCCAAGTTGCAACATCACACGTTTACTATCAAATTATGTTTTAACAAACTGTAGGTTGCATTATAATTGGGTAAATAATGACCGGACACAGGTGACACAGGTGACACAGGTCATTATGTTATGCCCAGAAATCTTTTCATTAAAAGTTGGTATCGTCCAGGTTGTTTCTTCAATAGAATGACCTATCGTTCTGAAAGGAAAAAAAACTCCATATAGGTATACTAGATTAATTATTTTCTACTTGTATCATTAAAAATACATTGATGTAGCTAACTGCCTGTTAGTAAGTACCTCCTCGATAAAAATGGAAGGAAGAGAAAAATAGTTTTCTTCTATTAGTTTTTGACATGCTGTATTGTATGAATGTTATAATAATTAATGCTATTTTCTTGTGAGTTTGATGATAATCCAGAATTTTGGATTGTTGATCAATACTATCTTTACTTTGGCCTTTTTATAACTATCTATAAACGGCATGCATTGGTATTACTCATTGTTGAAGGTATCACAGTGACCAGGAATAGTTCACATCTTTGTTTTTTAGTCTATGGAATGTTGTCTCATTGGCGATCATACAACCGTGGTATCAGTGATAATAATTGTTCTGTTCAATGTATTGTTGTTTTTATAATTTCGTTCCATTTTGCAAACACTTGTATTATAATTGTTGTATTTGATGATAGTCAAATGTCTGGACTTTATTTCAATAAAATTACTTACTTACTTACTTACTTACAACATCTTCTTTTTATGGTGTATAAATACGCATACTTGTCCGGGTGGAATCTGTCAAATTCAACAGATGTTGTGTTCTCCAAAAAAACACACATCTCGGGTTGCATAATTGTCTTTTCTTTTCAACATTCTTCAAACTGGTTAATGATAAAATTAAATACCGAATATCACATCGTCTACAACTAAAACCTCTTATCTGCCAAGTCACGATATATTTAAATTCTGCAACGTTTCAAGGAAATCGGGTTTACCAGAAACTCGTAGTTTTCTTTGAAATTCAAAAGGCGTGAAATTCCTATTATATGTGTTTTATACCTGTTTATTGTTCGTGTTTTTTTTTTAAATTATGATGCGCTTTCAAAGAAATATTTTCAAGCATTCAATTTGCTCCAACATCTTCTGTTGTTTCAAACTTTTTTTCATACACAATATTGAATGATATAACAGTATCATCAACCATTATAGAAAAGAAACACTAAGGGAATTCATAAAATCACTGTTGCAGGACAATTTTGTTTAATTTCTTCAATTTTTTCTTCACAATATTAAATTAGTTGATTTTGTATATTTTTCAGAAGACAAGTTCATCATGGGTATCAAATACATTGCTTTCGCTTTGCTGATAGTCCCTGTGTTGACACAAGGTAAGACCGACTTTAATCCACAATTCGGGATATTTATTTATGTTACTAAAGTGAGAAAATTACATCTTTAGAATCAAAAATCCTTGTTAGCACAAAGGATAAAACTTTCATTTAACTTCAAACTGAAATGTCGTAATGTTGAACTTTTAACTTAAGAAAAAACATAGTTTTCCTGGTGGTTGTGGAGAAAATTGGCAATTAGTATTGTCAACAGGTTTATAACACAGGTCAATATACAGTTATCTTGTTTAAATAAGTTGCTGACATTTGAATAAAAGGTCACGTGAGGTGTGAAATGAGAACAAAAACTACCAACATACATAGCCAAAACGTTGGTTTAAGGTCCCACTTAGTATAAACGTTTATGTCGACTTAGCACTCTACATGTTGTGTCAATACATAAGACCAGATATTACCTCTCCTATAGCTTCTTTGACACCTAATTAATATATGAATAAGGATTCATCTTGGCAACCATCCATCTACAGATTTGTTACTATTTTGTAACGAAATTTTGTTCTCATGCACAGTAAATGAAACTTTTTTGTCTATTTCAGTGCCACCTGGTCCGCCAGTCATCACTGGACCACAGATTATTATAAATGGTGATGCAGTTACCTTGACCTGCACTGTGAGTGGCGGTTCACCAACACCAACGGTCAAATGGTTAAGAGACAACACTGTAATTGATGACACGTATACTATTACTGGAAATCAAGTAGTTAACACGTATTCGTTTACAGCTTCTAGTCGGGAACATTTGGAAGTGTTCGAATGTCAGTCTGAAAATGGTGTTTTACAGAATCCTCTATCTAGAACTAAATTCGTCGAGGTTTATAGTAAGTATAAATATTGAGTTGCATCGGAACGCGATGTGAACAAACGGTTCGTGCTGGAAAATGTACGGAATCATAAATATATATTCTCGAAATACAACTAAGTCATGTACAAGATACAAGGGATATTTTATTTACTGAGCATAATAATCATCGTTATTACAAAACAATATACAGTATAATATTTTGAATTGTAAACATGTTGACAGTTTGTATCAAATTTTGAAACATTCTGTAGCCATGATGCACATTCTCTCATTGGTGGAACTATAACTTTTTCACGTAATTCATCAAAAGTACTGACATAGGCTTCAAATATCAAGCGCAAAGACCTCTCCTGACATTTTTCTGATTTATAAGTCGCTGTGTTATGTTTGTTGCGAAAATTCCACGCCAAAAGACAAAATTTAAGGTTAAATAAATGTTTGAAAAAATAGTTAATGTATTTAACTTTGTAAGATTGCCTGGCACCAATGCGCTTTTAAGCATTGAGTTGTTGAGAAGCTTTCAACAAATATTATCAAAGTGGTAAGTGAAATTAAGTTTATAATCAATATCAATGCCTTAAAAATTGACCATCTCATCACAGGATGTTTATGTTGGTTCAATATCAAAATTCGGTGTCTTTTCAAATGTTTATTTCCAACTGCGATCGCTTGAAATTTATCAGGATTAGCCTGTAAAAATTAAATTTAAACACATTTATTAAAACTGAACTTTTTTTAAAGTATATATATGTATATAGTAACGTTCCGAAATCATCATTATCATAAGACAGGATATTATCTTCAACAGTTATAAAGCGTACCATCGTCAATTAAATAACACATGTCGTTCTTAAAAATATTAAATAATAATGGTCTGAGGATTTGTCCTTAAGGGACACCTTTCTGGATTTCTCTCCAGATGCTTTTTACTCCCCGAAGTTGATTTGTTGCCTACGACCTGTAAGATCATACTGAAGTAATTTTACTGATTTAGGTCAAAGACAATAGGCGGATAATTTACTTTAAAAAATGTCATGTGGTAGACAGTCGAAAGATAAATAAGTATTAATGCCACATACAGATTTTTATCCAGAGCTGTTTTCCAGTCTTCAAGGTGTATTAGCAAAGGTGTCTGACAACCATGACCGTTCCTAAATCCACAAAAAATTTGTAAGGGTTCCGCGGAACCCGGTGTCTCGCCTACTTCTGCTGTTAATCACAGGCTCAACAAAAATGAGGAAAAAAATTAATAAAAATATTCCTCTCTATACTATCTTTTGATTGTAAGTAGCTTCTGTCCAAGTTTGGTAAAAATCCAGGATAGTTTATGAATTTAATAAATGTTTTAAAATAAAAACTTAAACTGCAGACTGTTATGTAATGTTAACTGGAAGAAAAACTAAGTCCATTTATAAGTAAAATACGGAAAAAATGGAACAAAATTTTAACAAAATTTCCTTTTAGATACTAGCTTTTAATCATAAACAAGCTTCTGTCTAAGTTTGGTACAAATCCAGGATAGTTAAGAAAGTTGTTAAAATTTTAAAAACTTTAACCACAGAGTGAATGTAATGTTAACTGGCAGAAAAACTAAGTCCATTTATAAGTAAAATACGGAAAAAATGGAATTCTTTTTTTACAAAATTTACTTCTGGATACTATCTTATGATCACAAACAAGCTTCTTTCCAAGTTTGGTACAAATCCAGGATAGTTTAAGAAAGTTATTAAAATTTAAAAAACTTTAACCACAAAGTGAATGTAATGTTTCCTGGCAGAAAAACTAAGTCCATTTATAACTAAAATACGGAAAAAATGGAATTTTTTTTTTTACAAAATTTACTTCTGGATACTATCTTATGATCACAAACAAGCTTCTTTCCAAGTTTGGTACAAATCCAGGATAGTTTAAGAAAGTTATTAAAATTTCAAAAACTTTAACCACAGAGTGAATGTAATGTTTCCTGGCAAAAAACTAAGTCCATTTATAAGTAAAATACGGTAAAAATGGAATTTTTTTTTACAAAATTTACTTTTGAATATTATCTTATGATCATAAACAAGCTTCTGTCCAAGTTTGGTAGAAATCCAGGGTAGTTTAAGAAAGTTATTAAAATTTCAAAAACTTTAACCACAGAGTGAATATTTGTGGACGCCGCCGCCGCCGCCGACGACGACGACGACGCCGCCGACGGAATGTAGGATCGCTATGTCTCGCTATTTCGACAAAAGTCGAAGGCTCGACAAAAAGCATGAAATATATGAACAAAAAATTCAGTCAACTGGTCAGACATAACCATGCCTGTAATAATTATTATGAAGTTGATAATTCTTTGTATATGGCGTTACACCTGAGCTTATTTTTATTCTTCTTTGAATTTCACTTGACTCAGTTGTGTTAGATAGGGTAATTGATATCTTAAAAAAGAGTACCTGTGGCTTTGTCATTTGCAACATTTACAAAAAAGTGTTGACTTCGTGTAGATTTGTTTGAAAGAAATTGTTTTAGTGTACTATACAATTGTGTAGATTTCTGTCCTCCTGCACATCTTTCTTGAAAAGTATATATTAACAGATTTTCTCTTTAGAAAAACATAATGTTCCAATTCAAACATGTTTTCTGGAACACCTAATACAAAGGGTCAAGGTACACACACATTTTATCGTTTTGTCTACAGGGTCACCAAACCAACCAACCCTGACAGGACCAACGTCGGTAGCTCCAGGAACAACAACAACTTGGACCTGTAGATCGACAGGAGCCTACCCAATACAGACAATGACAATGAGAATTGGAAATTCACAGTTCAGCAGCAATCAGTTCAGAACAAACACACAATTTATAGCCAGTGAAGAATCATATACTGTAGTCGGCACTCTGACCTATGCACCAACACTAGCCAATAATGGACAGACACTTTTCTGTGATGTTAGGCATACAGACACGTTAACCACTCCACAAACAGTCAGTTTGCCATTAACCGTTATATGTAAGTTTAACATAGTAAATAACTTTAGGTAACATAAATTATTTTAATATTTATAGCATTGTAATTCTTAACGACACTCATTTATCAATTTAAAAGTATTTTACTATTGTATTATGTCTTTCATGTCTGTCAGTTATATGAATGCGGTATGCTGCTTCATTTATTAAAAAGTCATGGTCACTGAGGAGAGTGAATTCAACAACTGCATGATATTTACATATATAAATCCATGTCTTGTATTTTATTATTTTTTATGATATATTATGTAATATGTTATTTTTGTTAATTTTCATGTTTGCCATCAACCCCATTGAGGTAAATCGTGCATTATTTCAAAAAACTATAAACATGTATAGATGATGTTGATTTATATTTAATGAGAACACAAACAGCATAGTACATAAGACATTATTTCAGACCAAAAACAATAACTTAAAGTTACCGTTCCAGAACACAATTACATAAAATGTATATACTACGTGTGCATGTACATTTAAAATTAGCCATTACGCAGATTATGTGTAAAAGATATTTTATGCTGAGAATTCTCTTATTGTCTAAGCTTAGCATAGATTTTGGAACGTTTTACTAAAATGCACTATCGTTTATTTGAACCCACTTGATTTTTCCTTTTCTTGTGTAAAACTTAGTGATTTGCATTACACTGAAATACACTGTAAAGAGAATACAATTTCAAAGTACACTAATAATTACATCTATATATTGTAGCCCCACTTTCGGTGACAGCCCCGAACACATTTTACAATCCAGCCGAGACTGAAACGATCAGCCTGATTTGCATTGTCACTGCTGGAAATCCTACTCAGATTAGATGGTACAAAAACAGTCAGCTTTTAATAGTAACTGGTAGATTCTCTGGGGGAACCGTCTCCGGTCCAGCATTGACTATTACAGGTGTCGTTATGAGTGATGCTGGTACTTATATATGTGAAGCTACAGATGGTGGCGCTACAGTAAGAACCAACAACATCCAGTTGTCTCCAATAGGTATGTTTTATTTGTTTGTGATTTTCTCCTCTCCGATCTGTATAGATATTTCAACCCAGTATATTGTTTTTTTCCCTATCTCCAGTGAATGCTTGGAAAAGTTGTCATTTCTACTTCGTGAATATTATGTTTTGACACAGAATTATTTTTTCGTCGTTTTATCGATCTCCGAAAAGGTATTCAGCGGACATTTTTCAAGGTTCCAGACCTGCAAATCATTACTCTTTTTTATTATTTGGTGCTCCATTTTCGCCATTATTCTTAATCTTAAAATTACCCTTCAAGAAAAAAAGTTCAGTGTTGCATTTATTGATGTTAACATGCATCAGAATTTTCAGTAAAATGATGAAATATGTGTAATGCTTTCATACAATAAGCAAATGTGAATTTTAATGACAAAATTTTGTCTCGGTATCTTGTTTAAATACTGCAAAAAGGTGAACTTCATGCTTAGTTTCTAAATGCATACAAAATTAATGTTTATAATTATGTTGCCAAATCCGTTTAATTTGAAATTTCGTTGTGCTGGGATCCTAAACAGGACTCTAACGTGACATTGACACATAGACTCGTGTTCGGATCCCTTTACAGAATAGTTAGAATAGTTATATAGTTTATTATGTTAAAATGTGTCCTACGAGTGCTTTCATTTTACAATGTATATCACTTCTAATATTTTGGAGTATATTTTTAGAACCACACGAGTTTAATTAACATTAGTGCTTATTACAAACTATTGCTCATTAGTTGTTAGCTTTGCAGAATTGATGTGTTAATTCTGCTATTATTGGTTTGCTAGTCCTGTGCATTTGATAATAAAGTGTCTTCTTGCATGTTTGTCTGATGTTATTTGTTATGTTTGAACTTTTAGCATGTCGGTTTTAAAAGCTCCGAAAGAGCTTATATTTTACTGCATTTGTATGCCTTTTACCGACTTTATTTTAAATAAATTTTATTTGATTTATTTGAATTGCACCCAAAGATCCTTGGGTAATGATTTAATTCATATAAATGTACTCGTATTATTGGAAAAATGTGTAAGCGCAGAAATGGGGTAAGCTTTTCTTGAAAAAACGAATAGCAAGTTGGCTTATAATTTTTGTTTATTTCATTTTTTATTAGAACGATCTGTATCTGAGTTCGAAATTATTACGTCTATCCTCAATGGTTACAACAAACTTGTCAGACCCATCGATCCTGTAAACAACGTAACACACTCTCTGATTCCAAAAGAAACCATCGAATTTGTAAGTATAGTACACTACACAAGTGTTTATGACATTTAAAAAGTAGTAGGAAAACGACATAAGATAGAATACAATTGGGCTTCGTTTGGGCTCTTTAATGCTTTATTGGTCGGGTTGTTGTCTCTTTGACACATTCCCCGTTTCCATTCTCAATTCTAAGTTCTGATTTCAAATTTTTCGAATTTCACATTCAAACTTACATGTGTTTTTTTGTCAACTTTTCTCCGATCTCCTTTGATTAATGTCTACCGATTGTACTTCATACACGACAATTTTCCAATGTGCTTTAGAGTTTCATATTTGGTTACGTTTCTTCGATTTTTATCTATCTAGCAATACTAAAGGGTTTAATCCAATTTGCTCCCATCTTTTGTTTACCCTTGAAACTGATTTTACTGGAGAATACTTATTGATTTATAAAAAAATGGCGCCAATTTCAAGCACACTTATAATACTAGTACGCAAAAAACCACACATCTTTGTGTCGCACGAACGCACATATAAAAGTTCGACTGAAATTTGAAAGGAATGGACTATTATTATCACAAATTGGCAAGAAATAAACCAACAGGTTGTAATTCCGTATGCTTTTTAATGATAGATTTTCTCTCTTTGTTTTTTAGAAAAAAAATATTTTGTTTGGAAAAATAATATAAACATCGGAAACACATTTTAGAAACGCTGAAAATTCGTGATTTTTCATTAGAATTATTTTCATTGTCATTTCTGTAAAATGTTATATAATATAATCATTGTTAGTGTCCTTAACAAAAACGATTTTATGTATCATATTTCTGTTAAAAAAGACTTCACAATTTTGAAGATGTTAATTTTATAAATACAATGGTGATAATTATGAAAAGTTTTTAATATACAGTCAGACACTATTTTTTATGTATTATTACATGATTAATATACTTTAAAAACCAGGATCCCAAGACATTGCGTTTTGAAGCCATGCAGTGCATTTCATGGAACGACCCACGACTTTCATGGCCAAGAGGACAACCAAGAGTTAGCTTACCTTCATCTGTGATCTGGTTACCAGATATTGTTATGTTAGGACAGTAAGTATTAGTAGGTTAATACCAGATATTGTTATGTTAGGACAGTAAGTATTAGTTAGTACAAGCTACTGTAATGTTAGGACAGTAATTATTAGTTAGTACCAGATATTCTTATGTTAGGACAGTAAGTATTAATAGGTTAAGTACCAGATACTGTTATGTTAGGACAGTAATTATTAGTTCTTTTAAGGTTTATGTGGAGCAGGATCTTCTTACCGTTCCGGAGCACATGAGATCATCCTCTGTGTTAGGTGTGGTTCGTGTTGCTCAATCTGTAGCTGAGTTAAATAGATTTATGTTTGTCTTTTAATCTCTTTATGCCCCCGCCGCTAGACAAAGGGGGCATTAAGTGTTACTTTTGTCCGTCCGTCCGTCGCGTACGTCCTGTTCTCTAACTTTAATTTGCCTCAACCAAATGTTATTAAACTTGTACACAATGCTAACTACCACAAAAACACAGATCAAGTTCGAAATTTGGTGGCGTCACTTTTACCATTCATGAGTTATGCCCACCTTTTTTTAACATAAAATTTGATGAATTTTTCGTTTCCGTTCTCTAACTTTTGTTTGCTTCAACCAAAATGTTATGAAACTTGTATACAATGCTTATATTCACAAAACGGTCTTAACTACGTGAATCCTGCATCTGTATGTGGAAGTTGACTTGTGCATATTTACAAGCGGGGGCATCTGCGGCCCATAGACACATTCTCCATTTATTTTTTACATGTCGTTGTCATGAGATTGGTTATTTATTGAAATCATAGCTTAGATATAGCTTATAAGTTCAGGAGAATATTTGGCAAATATAAGTAGGTACAAGATCAAGCTCATTGTATATTATTGTGTAGCCTCCACATTTTTTTAGCACACTTTAATGAGTGTGTCTATCTTGATGTTCAGTTTTAACGCTGATATATATTATTTTCGTTGCAGGGAAGTTATGCACGATTTTGAGGCCAAGGCGATAGTTATGAAAAACGGAGACGTGACGTATTGTCCACAGGGTGTAATTAGGTCCACAAATTGTGAGGAAAAGTCGGGTTCAGTTTGGGAATGCAACTTCAAATTCCTATCATGGTCCTACGACAAAGTTATGTTGGACATTCACTTCCCATCAGTCCTAACTAGACCGTCCATCGATATGTCTATCTACTATGAACATGATGACTATGAAATCGTTAGTCAGTGTCCAGTACGACGTGAGATGAGCTATCCCTGTAGAGTTGGTACCTACCCTGAACTGACATACACATTTGTTATCAGACGTCGTAGATCCTACTGCAGAAACCTCAACGCAAGCCCAACTTGTAATTAAAATAAGTTTAAGTAATACTATGATTGCAGCGAACGGTCGGCCATCTTTATCAACAAGACTTGTGTTGATCATTGTCCTCTCCAATGAAAAATAGACAATTTTAGTATAAGCTAGGCATTGATATAGGTTAGAAATTTGCAGTTAGAAGTATTAATATTTTTCGTTTGCAAATGTGATAAATTAGTTCATAGTGCTGCAATTAGTAAACTGTCAGAATATATTATTATCTAGTTATTATATAAGTACGTTCCTATAAAAGGAATTATAGTTAATATTTGTTGTAAAGTGTATAATTATATATATATATATATATATATACTTGCTAAAAATTAATACTCAATATTAAACATAAATAATGTTGTTTTTTTTGTATATGTGCCCATAACTCTGTCCTCTTATTCCTAAAACTAAGACACTGTGCCATTGTGTACAACATACCAAGTTTACTTAGTCAATTTAGAAAGGGATATTGTTTTGATGCACTTTAGACAACAATAAGATACCAGTAAAGGAGAGGCTACTCATCAAAGCAAATATGATGTTTGCTACGTTTAAAATGTAAAATACTCTTCTTTATAAAATCTTATTGCAAATACATTCCATTTACATAAGGGCATTTTCGTTTTGAATTTTTGATTGATTGATTGTAGTTTGTTTAACGTCCAGTTGTGAGTTTTGGGCAGACAGGGTGTTGTGAATACTTGTTTGTTGATACGGAAGTCCATTGTTCATTGGGAGAACTATTTTATAAACATTAAAATAAACATGTATTTTTAAATGATGTTCGTTTGCTCCGTGCACATACCCTTTTCATAGTCTAAAGAGCATGTATAGTTGTATGGAAGCTTAAATGGGTCAAAAGTTTATAATTCATATTGATATATTTAAGTCAAAATCTATACAACATTTCTACAAGTTAACTTAAATGTGAGTTCCTGTTGAGTTAATATCTCTCTAAATATCAACAAATCAACCTAATTTTGTTTACATGTCGAGTGAACAAAGTATACATTAAATATCATTGGTAAAACATGACTTCAGCTATGTGGAGTATATGGTTTGTATTCATCTTGTTTACTTTTAAATGTCATTTTGACGACACAACTTCTCAACAAGTGGACAAGTAACAACTCATCGTATCGTGTTGTTTAAAATATATATACTTATTCTAAGTCAGATTGTCTAAAAATAACAGCATACTAGCATATATGATGAAAATTTGACTATAAATTCCAAAGACGAGCCATACAGTCTAAAGTTACAGTGCTTCTATAGATCTTTGCTAGGCTAGTGGAAAGGGTACAATGCTTCGGACAATGTCTTTAAAGGTGTGTTTATCCTTTTCTCAGTACTAAATGTCGAATTAGGATCGTGTGAAAGTTAAAATACATGTTGCCATATTTGACTATGAAACTGAAAAGGAGTTGACGGTAAAATATGCAGTCAATGGTATTGCAATGTTTTAATAGTACGAACAACTAATATCCAAATCCTGCAAAAGCTCCTTAGGATATACCATGGGTTGTAAAAAGTAAAAAACAATAATACCGAACTCCAAGAAAAAATCTAAATGGAAACTCCTTAATTAAATGGCAAAATAATAAAAAGCTCAAACACATCATACGAATGGAAAGCAACTGTCATATTCCTGATTGGGTACAGGCATTTTTTTGTGTGTACAAAATGGCGGAATAAACCTGGTTTTGAAGCTAGCTAAACCTCTCACTTGGATAACAGTCGCATAACTTTCCATTATATATGTAACAGGGTTAAATTTTGATTGTAATTTGTGCACTTTGATATCTGTAGTTGGTCAGTTTTCTGTAGTCTAGAACTTATATAAACACAAAAAGATGTGGTATGATTGCCACTGAGACAACTCTCCATTCAAGACACAGGCACTTGTCTCAGAATTTTTTTTTCCTATAAACCTTAACATTAAGGTATATAGGAAAAAATATTTTCTGAGAAAGTGCCTGTGATTCAAGACCCAAAGCAGTGAACATAAACAATTATAGGTCACAGTGCGGCCTTCAATGTGAAGCCTTGACTCGCACCACAATGTAAGCTATAGATGGCCTAAAAAATTACTAATGTGAAACAATTCAGACAGGACAAATTGACGGCCAGATTTATATATAAAAACAATAAACGAAGAACAAATAGTACACTCAGTAACAAGCGGCAACCACTTAAATTACAGGCTCCTGACTTGGGACAGGTACATATAGTATATATGCAGCGAGGTTAAACGTATTTGCTGACATATGCAGCGAGGTTAAACGTATTTGCTGGATCCAAACCCTCCCCCTAACCTGGGACAGTGGTGTTACAGCACAACAGAATAACAAACATTTAAAACTCTTTTGAAATGGGTTTAACTCATCAGACCTTTACCTTGTAACATAAAGTAACTAACCAATGAATACACAGGTAAGATAACACAATTAATCATAAAGGACATCACGAAGAAAATGATAAGGAATTAATAGTATCATCGGACAATTAAAACATAGACTTAACATCAATCAATATACATCCAAAGGAGTTAGATTATAGACGTCATAACAGCATGAAAAGACATGACATTGTACAATGCCAAAATAAAAGTAAGACAGGTTGTAGGACCGTATGGGTTCATAGTACTATAAATATATATATCTATAGCTATGTTTAAGTATAAATAGAACAAATTTTTAAATAGGCCTGTCTGTGTAATTATACATCCCAAAAAAGTTCATTAACAAAAAAAATATATCTAGTAGTGTTTTAATTTATTGATAACAAAATCGATATTAGTACCGATAAAAACAATGTTCAAAGATTTTATTACGATATTAATATGATAACCTTTAAGAATGAGTTTATGCAAAGGGTCAATAAGTTTATTACGGTCGTTTATAAATTTTCGTGCTCTAAAAACAATATTACCGTAAAAAGTAGGATGCGAAATCCCGTTTTTGATAAGTTTTCTACAGGTAAAGCCGAATTGTCTAACCAAATTTTTATATCAATGAAAGAATTTTGTGAATGATTTAAACAATTTGTGGTAACGAAACCCTTGACTCAAATTTACTAGTGATGCACTGATTACGTTCGTTGAAATCTATTACCTCACTACAGACACGGGCATAGCGAACGATTTGGGATATATAAACACCGTAAGATGGAGCCAACGGAGCATTGCCATCAAGAAAAGGAAAATTAACAATAGGGAATGAAAAATCGTCTCTTTTGTCGTAAATTTTAGTGTAAAGTTTACCTTGAGAAATAGAAATATCTAAATCTACGAATGAACAACTACTGCTGTTGACATTAGATTTATTTAAAGTAAGTTCCAGTATTTTTGGAAAATTCTTGATTATCAAACGAAAAAATATCATCAAGATAACGGTAAATGTTTCTATTAAATGTAATATGTACATATTACAAGGTTTGTATTAGCATATAGTGATTCAACGTGCTGTTGCCAGATTACAGATATCTAAATATAATGTATATGACTAGCTATGTATTTTTTTACAGGTAACATTCCTTGTGATGAATATCTGTCTTGCTTGGGGTATGCCCGGACCCTATGAGAAAAAATCTTTTAAAGGTCATCTTTTGTAAAACTATTTAGCCAGCTGGAACCAAACTCGGTAAATCCTTGGTTTGTCCCCTTTATTAAATGTGTCTGACATGTCCTATTTATCCAAGATGACCTCCAGAGTAGGACATAGTTTAACATTAAGCCACATGGGAAACATGCTGATGGTCATCTTTCTCACACTATTTTTCAAACTTGAACCAAACTTTGTAAAAAAAGTTCTTGGGTTGTTCCCTTTTGAAAGGTGTCTGACATGTCCGACCTTCATCCACGATGATCACAAGAACATGATATGTATTTAAATTTTGGCGATTTTTTTTATCAAATAAAACTAAACTTTACATGAATGATGTATGGAATGTCCTTTTCAAAGATTGCTCATTGTGTTCCAATCCGACAGAAAACATTGCCGTCAGCATAGAACATAGATTAATATTGAAACCTAAAAAATATGTAAATGGCCATCTTTTTTGAACCAAACTTTGTTGAAATAGTCCTAAGCTGGTCCTCTTTTCAAAATTTGACTGACATGTCCTACCTTCAACTAATATGGCCACCAGCGCAGGACATAGTTTATAAACATTGCACCCGATTGGAAAAAAATATTAATGATAATTTAAGTTCACCTGACCCAAAAGATAAGCCATCCGTCCGTTAACTTTTCACATTTTGATCAACTATGAAATGACTGAAGCAAATTGAACCAAACTTTATATTGTATAGAAGGTCTTTTTCAAAGATTGCTCATTTTGTTCCGTCAAGCAAAGAACATAGCCGCCAGCACAAACACAGTTCAACATTTGACCCTATGGGGAAAACATGTAAATAGTATTCTTTTCTAAAACTTTTTGGCCAAATAGTCCTTGGATGGTCGCCTGTATAAAATGTGCCATCGCAGGACATAGTTTAACAGTGGATCCTATGGGAAACATGTTAATGATAATTTATTTCAGAAACTGTTTTACCAATTCGAACCAAACTAGATACAAATAGTTCTTCGGTAGTCCCCTATACAAATTGTGTCTGACATGTCCAACCTTTGTCAAAGATGGCCACCAGTGCAGCTAGGATGTGTTTTAACATTGGACCATATGGAAAACATATTTTGATCAACTGCTCTTAAACTCTGAGGCAAATTGAACCAAACTTTACAGGAATAATGCATGGAAGATCCTGTACAAAATGCTCATTTTTTCCGATCTGCCCATAAAACATGACCGCCACCACAGAACATAGTTTAACACTGGACCCTATAGGCAAAACATGCTAATTAGGACAACAAACATGGCGGAGTAATTTTTTTTTTTCTGATTATATATCTGAACGCAGACAAGTCCTGAGTAATACCTTAATCATTTGTGTAGGTTTATCTTCCTATGGAAGTTTGCTTCAGAAGCATTTTGTCCAAGTGAGCGATAGAAGCTCAGCCATCTGAGCCTCTACTTATTTTTCAAGTGTCCTACTAATAAATGTAAAATTATGCATCAAAATATTGCCACGTCAATAATGATGAATGTCGACAAAGTCAAACAGCAAAAATGGAAAACGTGTACAAAACCCAACCAACTAAGAAAACGAAAATCAAGTAGTATAACTATAAATATTAAACTTGATTTTCGTTTGTCTTCGTTTGAATCTATGCAGTATATGGCTCCATCTATTAAAAAATGTAATTGATACTGAGGAAGGTGGACTCCCTGACTGAATAAGTTTCACATTATAATGTACTTATGTACTGTATTTCTTCATGTTGTTACTAAATAGATGTGTT